TAGTCTGAGACGGGTCGATCTGGGCTGGTCGGGTCTTGGCCGGCAAGCCCCTTGCTTGACAAGGCGCCCAACGTCGCCCCTTAAATCCTGCAACGTCCAACTACTGTATCAGAGCCGATTCGCAAGATTTGCCGGCTCTTGCGTCGGCTCTGAATCAGTAGCTGAAAAGGAATGGCTCCTCCCGGGGAACAGCAAAATCTTGGCAGAAAATGCGCTCGCCCAGCTCCAGGTTGATCCCCAGAATGCCGAAAGCAGAAATCATGGGCATGTTCAGAAAGCTGAAGCATTGCCTGGGCACACCAAAGGCAAACATACGTGTTCAAGAGTGTTTGTTTGCAGAAGAGAAAAAAGAAAAGCTATGGCTCTTTCTTTAACATTATTTCCCAAGTATCATGTGTCGCTGGCAGGAGGCACACAAATCAGTTTGCTGTCACTAATGAAAATAAGTGCCGGTCTATGAACAGAACCTTCATCGAAGGTGCGGCTGCAACCACCTTGAGGTTGCGGTTGAATTTGCCAAGTACGTTGCCTTTCTGCACTGGTGCATTTCACGGCTAAACATTGTGGGCTGGCATGCGTGGCTCCAGGAGTTATGTCCGAGCCGCCAAAAACACCCCAGGTCTGCCACCAGAGTTGAAAAGCATGGCCATGCAACCTGATTCTCAAACCTTGAACCTCGGGATTTCTTCTGGGCCGTTTTGCGAGGATCCTCTGCAGGTGTTGTTGACATTGCCTTTCTGCTTGAGCTCGTCTTGCTCGTGCCCAACGAAACCAAGCGGCACGGCATCCGGTGCTTTTAGTCTGCGCCCCATTTGGTTTCCTGAAAATCAAAGAAACATTTGCGGGCTGCATTTAGCTGACACCTCAACGAGCTATCGGATGGCTTTCCGACAGATTCCAGGGAAAGCGCTTCGCGTTTGCGGCTAAGCGGTCGGAATGGGCGAAGTGCTCTTTTTGGAGGGGGACCCTTTGTGAGCTTAAAGGAAAGCAAGAATGCCTGGGGTGTAAAAAGGTGGACTGGATTTCACCTGGTGGGTACAAAGGGTTTGAGGTTTATCGGAAGAGAGGCAAGTGGATCGTGTTGATTTGGGTATGAGGCAAGCGGCTCATGCCTGGGCGGTGAAAAACGCGTGCAAGCTGTCAAGCCAGCTGGCGGGTGAGCCGTGCTTCGTGCCAGGTCGACTTGTGTGTGTGTGTGACAAAACTCGTTTGCTTTCTGACCCCTGCTAAAAGTTTAACTTTTAGTGGTTTAATGGAAAACCTATTAGTTGGCAAACAGTTTAAAGTCCTAACATCCAAGTGAAATGCATCAAAGAAAAAGGTGGACCACAAGAATGATTGGCTTGTAGGCTTCCTGTAAGACAGCCACAAGGTACTGTTTCGTAGAGCCTCTGGCACCCTCACAATGGCAAGTGATTCCCCAGTTTGGACCTTTCGCCCTCCGCCCGAAACCGGCACAACCTTTCAAGAAACGGGAAGGCCTCATCAGTCACGAAGAAGAATAGATCAACATTGCCATGCATGTCAACCAAAAGCAAGTATGGTCAAAAAAGAACAGTGAATCCTGGACGCCCCATGGATGGAAGGATTCAAAACTGCAAAACAGTCGCGCTAGATGTCTGGAAAAAGTGCAAAGAACCATGCATTCCCCGGGATTTGGAGTGCCAATCGGAGCGCGGCCATCCTTTTGTAACAGTTGGGTAAAGCTTGCATCGCTCCAACAGGAATCCATTAAATCATTACATAAATCTGCTCTTGTTGGCCATCTTTCTGACTTTCAACGGGACAACCCATGAGAGCTCACCCCTCGTACTCAACTTGCTGGTTCTGAATATTGGACCCGTTTGTTGATTTGGGCCGCTATTGTAGCAAGTGCGTGTTTACTAATTCAGGATCCCGAGGATCCTGTCACTGTTTTGGGTCCACTTGAATAGCAAGCTCCCCCTCCCTCGAACAAAATGCCAAAGGGTGGCTCAGCTTACCAAGCCCTTCCCAGCTCGAGGGGCAAAGGCGATAGATCTAGGAAAACCATTTTGAAAGTGGTTCACAAACCATCAAAGTCAAAATAACTTCTTTGCAGAAAGAGTAAGGGCAAACCGTCACACAAAGGGAGTTGCCCACAAGAGGCCCTGATCCTGATTTGGGGCCTGCTTGGATGTCCAAAAAGGGGGTTGCTGAAATTCCCCACATCACGCCCTTTTACTTTTAGAGGGCTCATCCCAAGCACTTCCCTGCTTAAAGGTCAACGCCTTAGCCTTTGACTCTTAAAGGGTGGTTCACCTACCCACGCTCTTCTCAGCTCAAAGGGTGAAGGCCTTAGATCTGGAATGTCCATCTTGGCAATACTAGGCTTAGACTTGGCAATGCTAAAGGAAGTGCTGGGAATCTGAGAGTTAGTCTTATCAATACTGAAGTAAACATTGGAAAAAACTAAATATGTACTGATGACGTGAGAGTAAGTCTGGGCACCCCTAGTTCAAGAAGCCCCCCGCCCGAATCCCACTTTGCAAAAATCAGTCGAGTGATTGCGTGAGAGTGCAAGACCACAATTTGCAGGGTTCAAAATGTTATGTTGACGACTTTTGACGCACCCCCAGCCTTAGCAATGCTAGCTTAAGTGTTGGCAATTCTAAAGCAAGTATACAAGCAAGTGCAAGTCGCACCCAAACCCCAGGATTTTGAATAAGGACGTTCAACAGGGAATCAACAGGGCGTTTGGGAATGAACCGGGGCTTCCCCGCCTTCCCGGTCTCGAGGCAAACGGTCTTGGGAAACCTTCAGATCTGAAGCCAACCTGACCTTCGATTCAAGGAGCGCCGCCTCTCTCGGCATAGCGGAGCACAAGGACCGGTACTCATGTGCGCTTCCCAAAGCGACTATGGGGTCAGAGACCCCAAATAGGAAAGCCCTTGATCATGCTCATATATCAATTCACTGGCGACCCCACCGCAACAAACAGGGAAGCGATTGAACGCATAGAAACATGCTTGGTTGGTGGGTTCACTAGTAGCGCCGAAATCTCTCCACCAAGCGTGGGACCCTACTTGCAGCTGCCACATGTGGGGCATTGCCTCTGTGACGGGTGTGACATGAATGCTGCCCCAGAAACATCTACTGACGCGATGGTCTTACAGCAGCACTCGGAAACTGATACAATGAATGTCCATTCACTTGTTGAAGGGGCACGAAAGGTCCGACAAAAACAAGCAATATTGCACCGACGCTCAAAGCCCAAATCACCGACTTGTTTCCATTCACTAATTCTGCAACCCTGAATTTCCATTTACGGCCAGCAAGACCAACAACCTAGGTGCCATACAGTATCATAAGACATGTTGTCTCTAAAAACGAAAGAACACAAAAAAGGAAAACAACATTGCGGGCAGCATTTCTATGCGCTTTGACGATATATGCATCAACGAATGACACGGACTCTGGTCCAAGTGCTAGTTGTAGTTGTGGTTCAATGAGTTGCAGCACAGTACATGCAGTGCCTGCATACTTCCATAGCTGTTGTTCGCCAGTGCTTGAAGCATTGGAAGTTAAAAAGGCTAAAACAAGCCACATGTTGCGCTTGCAGTTGTCTGAAGACAATAATCCCAATGAAGCTCGTGAGCAGAGACATGCCACTCAAGATTCAGAAAGCATGTCATGTGCAACTACATCGATGACTCGACGTTGCTAGCGCCAACACATTCAGGGACCCACACTTTGAGCATGTGAATTTGAGCAGACCACTTGCCACTAGTTCCGTGTCCTGACCAGTGTGCAAGCCAAGTTGCACCGGCCGAAAATCGAGAGAGGATACCTAAATGAATAGCGCGAGCATTCCCAAAAGGGAGACGCAGTGTCTTGCGGGCAGAAGCCATGCTTTGGCGAAATGTGCTGACCCTGTTCCAGTTCTAGCCTGCCCTGAAATAAACGTGTGTTTTGGAGGAGGCCCCAGACATGGCTGATTCGGCGCGCTGTTGTCTATGCCGTCCCTTTTTGAACATTGTATCATCCACTCAAGGTGCACATGCTTGTAGTGACCCAGTGTAGAATTCGGAGGGGGTGTTCACCCCCTCTTTGTGAAGGGTTCACTTTTTTCATGGACGACCCTGCTAGTAATATCCTAGGCGTCAGTTGATCCAGGAATCCGGGGTCATGCTGCAAACATTTCTCTCATGCCAACATCTACCCCGCTCTACCCGGTAACCCACATGACTTGTTTGCAACATTCTCCTCAACTGGTATGGGTCTGTCGCTCTCTCTCTCTCTATAAATAAATAAGTATGTATACATATACATATATGTATGTTCCTGCAGCCCGTCGTGTCCAGCCCCCGCACCCCCCCCCCCCAATGGCACGGGTCCATCCAGGGGTCGGGGAACCATGGACCCCCCCTCCACCCATCCCACAGAAGGGCTGGGGGGCTCACACTGTGCTACCTTCTATAGACCCCAACCCGCATTCCCAGGGGAGGCGGGGGTGGGAATCATGGACCCCCCACCCACCCATTTCATAGGGGGCGGGGGGCTTGTATAGTCACACTGTGCTACCTTCTTGACTGAGCACGACCATTGGGGGTCATATATGTGTATGTTTGACACAATACGGTCTGTGGCCTGTGTATGTGTGTATATATATATATATATATGTATGTACATATGTGTGTATATATATATATATATCTAGTCATTTATGCCTTGGAGAAAGGTGCCAAAAGAAAATGCATCTGATGGTGGCCCAACGTTGAGTTTGGGGTAGGATCCGCATCCGGCATCTGTAGCACAAACATGGCTACAATGGTGAAGGACTTTTGGAGGGCCCAATGGATCAATCCGGCTTTCGTAGGTTCGAGTGATGTGGCGCTGAATGGATCCCGGATTGAGCTTTGGCCAGGTGCTGTGGGCGGCTTTGATCGCCAGACAAGATCAAAGATTCAGTCTGAGACAGTCCAGTCTTTTCTTGGCATCCGAAGATCAGGCCGCGTTTCGCCAAAGCTTATGGGTTTGGCTCATGTGGCCGTCACAGTTCCGATGTACTGCCTGGCGCCAAAGGAAAAAGCCGCGGGAATGCCAACAAGAAGGCCCCCATGCACCAAAGGTTCTCCGGAAACCTTCTTCTCACTTCCTGAGTTGATGGCCCGCAAAAAGTCCTGACTTCTTTGCCCCTAAAATGGTCTTCACAAAGAAGTTTAAGGTCCATGACCTCAGGAAGCGAGTCTTTGAAGGGTTTTTGGGTCCCTGATGTCTCTCCTTTTGCCTCGAACCCCAAGCTTGGGTACCCTTTCTTGAGTGTAGATCCCCCAGCAGAAAGTTTACATTCCTTCAGTTCACCTTTTTCATTGCCTTCACACGCCGGGGTCGGACTCGCATCGAGTCCTCATTACCGACTGACCTAATCTGCACACTCGTTCGCGGCTTATGGTCTAACCGACCGCGTTATGACCCATAGACATGCGGGGAGCAAAACAAGTAGCTTTCTTGCAGGCTAAAAGGAAGTATGAGGGGTATCCAACAAGTTAGAGTCTAAAGATCCAACCCAATGGCAGTAGAGTTCTTACCCCCACCTTTTTGAGAAACACTGGTAAACCTGAAGCCTCCGAATGATCATCACGGCGACCGCCCCTGTCGGGGCTATCATATCTAACTCCCTTTTGCAACTGGACCTCACGGCGTTTTTGTTCGGCCAAAGGGGGCCATGTTCAAGGGAAGGAGGGTGCCAAGGTGTCAATGAACACCTCAAAAAACAAAAAAAATCACGGGGATGGTGCTTAGGAGTGTCCAATATCTGATCTCTCGAAAAGGTGCTCCAAACCTTCCAGAGGATCATGGTGTTGTGAGCATGTCTGATGGCACGCATCGTTGACAAAGTAGCTTCCGCCCCTTTCTGGCCATCTTTTTGCATTTGGGCTTGTCCAAGCTAGGGCCAGGTACCCAATCTGTGAGTCACAAAAATTCAAAGGACATCCTCGGCATCCCTAGATGCAGGTGAACAAGTATGATCATCCCTGGCTGGGTTCCGCAATAAGATCATCTAAGAGCAACGAACCAACACTCGCTTACAAGGAAACAAAGGTTTGCTTTGAAAAGAATAAGCGGAAGTGAGAGAAAGAGCCTTTGGTCCCAAACCTTTGCGACAGAAATGACTGCAACAGGTTGTTCAGAGCCCGATCGTGCAAAGCAGAGCTTCTGGACAAGCAGAGGACAGGACTCCCTTTCAACCAGGAGCATCCTGTTGCGCACTTTGCTTGGTGGCAGGGTATGCACTTGATGGATAATCATCCCCCAAGGATTATCAGAAGGAAGTCTCCCTATGTTTTAGGCCGGCGCTTCTGCCAACTGCTCGTGGATGATCAGTGTGTTAAACCACCATGAACGCATTAAACCGAATCTCAGACTTGCTTGTACAAGAACGAGCCACATGCCAACAACAACCAGCGCAACGAACTACAAGGGAAACAACTCGCATCAGATGGGAATGTTCTGCAAGTTATGATTGCCTAGCTTCTGATTTTGGCTACGGCGCCTGGTCAAAGTTCGTTTACGTGTGTCATGCTCTTGGCTCCCCCCGGGAAATCTACGGCCATAAGACCATCCACGTCAACCCCAGGAAGGTCTTTTGATGTCACACATGTTGCAGCTTCTGGACCAAGGTGGTTGGCATCAAACATCATCACGCTGCAACACCCAGGAAAATCCTCTGTACAAAGCTCGGTATTTGTGGTGGCGAACCGCTGTGCTCTCCGGAAAACTCGCAAACCCAAACAACCACTGAGCGAGACCTCCTTTGGGATTCACGTGTTCAATGGGTTCCGCAACTTGTGGAGGTCAGTACCTGGAAATTCAGCCCTGTTCAAATCCGTCTGTTTCACAACTCTCACTTAAATGCATTTCAAATTTCATGTCTAATTCAATATGTCGATCCCACAATCACATGTCAATATACAAAAATGAACGGACGGGGAAGACATATGAATGCAACTAATAATCTATTATATTTCTGATCGACTGCTTCGTAGCTTGGTCTCTCGATCACATTTGAGTCTGAACATCCCCAGGTCAAAATGTTCGGCAGCCAAACCTAAGGCTTCCATTTCCGTTGGGTGTACTTTGTTTTAGAGGACCCCCCCAAACAAAAGGTGGTTTTCCGTGTGTCCTGGGGGCCCCTCAAAAAAGACCCACCCAGAGGTTCAAACCGCCATGAAAACAATGGAGGGTTCATATAACCACCATGACTTTTACCTAAGGATGGTTCTCCAAATTGGGTCTTTGCCATTCTTTTCATGGTGGGGCCCATGTTTGTTCCCCTTTTTGGCTTCTCCTCCACCCCAACCGAACACGGCCAGCGCCCAGGCGCTGTCGCGCCCCAGCGCGCGCCTGCTTGGCGTGGCACAAACGGAGCCGGCCACCGGCGGCGCGGCCGGCAGGCCGTCTTCCGGAACCTGCCGCGGGAAGTCAGTTGGCCTCCAGCAACGGCCTCCAATGGCCTACGGCCTCAGAGAACCCAAATCAGCGGTATCTGTTTTTGGAGGTTGGCCTCATCCATTGAGGTTCACCAGCTCACTCGTTGCAAATCAGCTTCCCCGGAAAATGCGTGGTTTTCGGCCGTTGTGCATCAGCTTCCCCGAAGAATATGCTTGAAGTGGTGGTCAACGAATCAAATAAGAGGAGCTGGTGGTTTGAAGTGGTGGTTTGGAATTTGAAGCTCCTGTTGAAAAGAAATGGGGAAGGGCCCTAACGTCCAAACCAAACCACCAATTCAGGGAAAGCTGAGTAAACGTGGTAAACCTCCTAAGGGGATCAAGGCACCACCTTTTTGGTTAGCCCTGCAGCCAAGACCCAGGTCAAACACTGATTCGGGTGGGCGCTTGATATGCTCATCAAGTGGCGTGTCTCACTTGCTCGGGGTCTAACTCCACCTGAAAAAGCCATGCCCATGGCCTTAGGAGCCCCAGCGGGGCTAAAGCGCGTGCGGTTGGCAGGGAGAAGTGTGTGATCCAAGATATGAAGCAGGGTCAAGATTACCTGAATGGCTGTGGCTCAAGAAACTGGTACCCAAAATGGAACCCTGGTAAGTGGAAACATGGACCAACACCTGCAAAAGGGTTACTCCTGTTTGATTTCGAGCCACACCCACATGTTTTTGCTTCGCCTTTGCAACTCTCATCATTTCGAATCTAGCGTCATTCCGGGGCCTGGTATCGCCGCTTTTTGCGAGTACCCCATCATGTGCCACACACCGAATACTCAGCAGCGGTTCCTCGTGCCTATGTACTCACAGAGATCACCTGCAAAAACCTCCTGCAGAAAGACATTGCCAAACACTCTGCTTGTCAGGCCATCGCATGGATATGATATCACACACGGCTGCTCAAGTGCTGATTGGTGAGAGTGAAGACTCCAAACCTGTCAGGGAACAAGTTGCCAGGGCAACACACTGCGTTTCCCATCTTGCGCAGTTGTGAAAATCACTCTTCCAGATTCACTGCGGCAAAACTGTGAGAGCTGGCTTTAGCTTTCCCGGGACGGGCAGGGACCGGATATGTCCAAGGCTAGGAAGGTGACCGTCGCCTCGTGCGCGAATTCTGATGTGTTGCTGATGGGCAAAGAGAGTGGAAGGAGTTGCAAACTGAGGTTGGGCCCAAGCTTCAGGCAGAGTTACATGTGAAGATGGTTCTCCACCTTCCTGCCAGTCATTTTGTCGGAACCAGGTTTTGCGGGTCCCATCCTATCAAATCCTTTCGTGTTCCTAAGAAATGGCCAAGTATGCGCAATCCATCGGTTGTGTAGCAGAAGAACGAATTCGCAGGTCCTCCGAGTCTGTGTTCTTGGTCCACCCGTGGGTCGAAACCATTTTTGGCCTCCAAATGACAAGCCCAGTCTCGTGCGGCTTTGGGCAATTTACAGCTGAATGCCTGGGGCAGAGTTGGGCAAGTCCATGAAACCATGTTGAATCTTAGCAAACAAATACTTGCTACCTTTGAACTCTTGAGACTAAAGCGGGGATTGTTGCGGTAGTACCATGCTTTTGAGGCGTGCGCTTGGTTTCCTGGCAATATTCGCGGCATCCGCTTGACAATTCCTTGATACTGCGCATGCGGCTCGGACCTTCACGGTGAACTGTGCGCGGACACCGGAGGCTCTAAGGTTCAATGGTGCAGCCAAAAAGCTCTCCAAAATCTAGACGTAAATTCATCTTCCAAAGATGCCCCCAAACAAATGGTTCGGCTTCTTGTCCGAAGCCAACCCAAAGCGGGTACGGTACCCCTAACAAAAGCTAGGAGCCGAGTGAGCCAATGCCATGCGGTCCAGCCTCTGCAAAATTCAGGGAGTCAAACTCATCGTCGCTACCTGGCAACAAGCGATGCCAATGAGCCCAAATACCGCCCACGTAGAAACTGACTGGCCTCAACCCCTTGGACGGTGACTCCTCCAAACACGAATGGTCGCTGCTGGAACTTCAGCTTGTCGTTCCCCCAGATCATGACTTGTCTTCTTAAGACAGCTTGTCTGAGATGTCACAACAGCTCATCATCAATTGCATTGTCTCTGCTCAAATCCTTCCCAATTCGCTAACCATGCGCTTCTGTTTAAGCCCACTCATAGTTCATCTCAAGTTCACTTGAGCCCCCAGACAAGCTCTCCTGCGACACCCAAACAACCAAACTTGGTTCCACCAAACGCCACAACAGCCACAACAACCACCCAGCACGCAAACCAACCAGCCTTGCAGCCAACCAATCAAAACCACAACCAACCGACCAACCAACCAACCAACCAACCAAACGGGCTATCAGCTCAACAGTCCACATTCCCCCCCCTCTCGAAACAACTAGCGAGTCTCGCCGGACCAATTTTGCCAACTCTTTAGTGGCTAAAGTGCAACCGGTGATTGAGCTTGGCCCAACCCTGGATAACATGTTCAGCTGGTCCACGTTTAGCTGACTAAAATATGTACCAATCTGGGCTGTTCAAATTGGTGGGTTAAGCCAATCCACTGAATGGGAACCCTTTAAGGGGACCCCTGAAGTAACCCTAGGGATCTGGGCTGCCCTCAGATCCCCCGCTAAAAGTTTAACTTTTAGTGGGTTCAATGGAAACTACCCCTAAACACTAAAAGGCTACAAAGCTAAGGGGATGGCTCAGATCCGAGGCCCGAACCGGCCGACGACCTAAGCCCCCACCTTCGTCGATGTCGTCGGCATCGCTCGCGCCGCTTTCCTCTGTGGTGCTGGGAGTACGGCGCTCAGGCAGCCTCGGCTGGAAGAACTGACCTCATGAAACCATAAGCTCAGGTAACTTCCATTTGGTTCAGGCCCCAGGAAAAAATAAACATATTTTCCAGTAGTGATGAATTCCTTTCAAAACCAACAAAGGAAAATCAAACATAGTCTTAAGCAAATGGAGGGGCATCAACAGCCGCTGCCTACGGGAAAAAAAGCTTGGGCAACCCCATAGCTGAAGGGCGGTTGGGGGGAAAAAATCCCAAAAGAACCACCGAACCCCGCTCAAAAACCCAGCCCGCAGCGGCTCGGAGCTCTGAACCCTCGGGCCGAGTTGAACCTTCTCCAACCGCTCCAACTCATCTGAATCGCAGCGGAGACATATCCACCAACTGCCCCACCCCCAACTGCTTGATGAAACCCTCGCGAACGCGATCCAGTACGGCACCTTCAGACCTTCCGGAACCTTCTGGAACGTAGCCCAAAGTACCCAGCAATCTCTCCATGGAACCGCCAATTCCTGAAGCTTCAGAACTTTCCGGAACCTTCCCAGCCCTCCGGAACCCAACCTCATCCAGCAACCCTCGGACAGCACGACAGAGACCCCATAGCTTCCAGCCGAACAATGCGCTTGAGGCTTCTGCTTTACATGTGAAGCAAAAAGTCAAAGAATCATGTTGCATGACTTGGTGAGTAGGGAAATTACATTGACTGGTCCTGGGGCCTCAGTTCCCCGCTTCGGGAAACACTCAACCACAGAAACAGCGACCCAACCCCCTCTAGGGCCGGAGCAGGTTCGGCAAGAAACCAAAATGATAAGGACACTCGTACCAGGAATCCTGTTAGATGATGAACGCCTGGTACTGACCGCAGAAAGAAGCAACAGCCGCTCGAGGAAATCATGCCGGTCGGTCCGGGCTACGCAGCGTCACCAACACTCGGGGGAATTAGCTCAAGCAAATAGGGCAAACCAATACCATGTTCGACTCAATCATCACGTGGACCATGAGCTACATCTGCTCTGAGATTTCCCTTAAATAGAAGCTCTTGAACACTTCTTTTGCGGCCCTGCACACTAGGGAAACAATGTAGAATATTCGTTGCAGTTCCAGGAAAATCAGCCGTGTACTTAAAGCCAAGACAAACTACAAGTTGACAGATTGGGCTCGCCAACTTCAGTCGGTGCTCAAATGTGCCAAGACAAACTTTGAAAGCTGGACCGTACAGCCCAGGTTAACACTGGCGAACAAAAGAACCCCAAAAACCACAATACAGGACTTGGAACCCCGCACAAAGGAAAATCCTGGTTGATCCACCAGGGGTGTCCTTTTGGTATCCTTCTGTGAGAGTGCACCCCACTCCGCCAGGTTTGCACAAACCCGGGCACAGAAATGCGGAAGCCTTACATAAGCGCCACAAATGAAGTTCAACCCGAGGCCAGCAAACCGCGGTCATGTTGCAAGCTTGGGCACTTGGCATACCTCGCAGAGGACAGAGAGCTTTTTTGAGGCCCATGCAATGTTTGAGTCTAAGAAACACAATGCTAAAGTCTAGCTGTGCGTATCGTTTTGTTGAGAGAGTTTCCTGGTGGAGCTGGCTAAGAAGGACCAAACAAAAACAGCCCGAGTTCGGGCAAACAAATCCTCTGCGCATATTTCACCAAAGCCAAAAGCCGCCGATTTCTGGCCGCCTCGCGAGAAACCAAGAGCTTCGCCCATGTTTGGGCCCATGTGACGCAAAACACAAGCGCGGCATGCGGTTTCGATGTGAACAAATCGGAGGATCCTGCAATGCGACCTGGGAGTGCCAAAGCTTGCCAAGGAACTCGCTGATGGTGGGCATCCCAAGCTTTGCTAGGTTCCGTGTCTTCAGCTCGTGCATCCTCGGATGCAAACATGCCGAGCGGTTCGAAGTTCGAATCCGCGCTGGAGTCGACGAAAATCGTAAAGCTGCTCCCTTGAATATGAAAAGAGAAGTGAACTGTCCTGCCATTGGGTATGTTGCCGTTTGTTTCCTCTCTCGGGGGGCATTGGTCTGAGGGCGAAGCAATTGACATGCACATCTCGGCCCAACCCCGAGGTGCGCCAAACAAATTATGTTCATGTTTGGTTTACTTTATGCAAAGCAAGTATGGACCGCCCAGACATGGGTCATCCTTTGTGGCCTGATTGGTCTTCCTAAAAAAGCTGCTCGTTTGCGCGGCCAGGATGAAACTCAGATGACACCGACCATGGATAGCCGTCAAGTGGGTGTGGGTTCGAATCCATGTGCGCATGATACACACACGGCAGGTAGTCGATGCAAGCTAGAAAATGTGTGTCTCACGCTGTTGACCTGTGCCAGCTCGCTCAAACTCACAAGAAGCAAGGAACCCCAGGGATGTCGCCTTGTTGATAGTTTTTGTGTGAAGCAAGAATGGGAAGAAGCCCGTTTTGGCATACAAAAAGCAAGTGTCAAACTCAGGTCCAGTCAGGAACCGCACAGGGGGTCCATCAGAACTGCTGACCCCAAGATGGGTAGAGGCCTGGTCATTACGGAAATGGCAAAATCCTACGAGTGTGCCACCTCAATTCGTTATGCAGAATAGCTGGACCGCCACAACCCCCCCTTGATTGAAATGGCATGTTGTATGGTGGGTTTACAAAGTTGCATACAAGTGGCAGTATATATATATATATATGTATATATATATATATAGCTGTATGTGTGCGCATGAATGCGTGTGTATATCGATTCCTTGGAAGATGCTTCTAAAACAGGGTTCAGTTCAAGAGCGTGAAGTTGCACGAGATACCCGCAACAAACACAATGGCAAATCTGCCACCCCTCAGTCTCGGACTAAAGGTTGAAAAAAGAGGCTGGCATCTGGCTCGCAGTTCCGCAGAACAGGAGTACGCACGCTGCAGATGTCAAGGGGGGCAACTCCTTTCTCTTTGCAAAAGCTAGCTTGTTCAGCGTGTGCAGTAAGAAACTCCCCATGTCCAGGTGTTGGGCAATATTGCAGCACCCTCCAACGGTCCATTTTGAATTGACGCCAGTTGTCAAATCTGCTCCAGCGCGCGGAGGGCAGTCCGTGGTGATAACCGTCTCAAGTGAAGGCGTACATGTACAACTGTGTATATTCATGCATACCTATACATACAGGTATGCTCACTCAAAATCGAACACAGTGAGGCAGTCATCACGATGGACCACAGATGGATCGTTGACTATGCCCTGTCGGTCGAATGGCACAACAAACATCAGAGGCACGTCTTGATGACTGTGGACTCTGGTGCAGATATCTCCGTCCTTCCAGAGAGCCATGCCATGATTGGAAGAGAGGATGATGAGAGATGCTCAACAACAGATCATTGGGCATTCTGGAGTGAGAACGATGAACGTGGCAACGACTGGCGCAGACGGCATCAAGGTGAACTTTGTGGACCGCTTTGTCATCGGCCAAGTGAAAGCACCCAATCCTGTGTGCTGGGCATCTTCTTCCGCAAGGTTGGGAAGTGAGAAGAGGAAGGCATGGCGTTTCTGCCTGGCATCCTCAAGGGCTGCGGGCGCCGCTGGAGATGAAGAGAAACAGCCTCCAGGTGGAAGCCGAGATATGCACCGTGGGCATGGAGGCTGAACCAGGCGGAGACGATGACTTTACCACGGCTGACATCTGCGTCTTGGACGGCTTGTGCAGCGCAGGGTTGGAGGAATTGGAGAAGGTGCCTGGATGGTGTGTGTTGCCGAACAGCCTTGCAGCCTGCTCATACTCAGTCACAGGTTGATTGCTGGATCCGAGTCGTACTTTTGATTGGAAAGCAAGGATGACCCCTCTCAAGGAAAAAGAAGGGAAGTGGCTGCAGGTGGAGAATGCATTGGGCCAGCTGGCATGGAGACGCAGCCCAGTGAACGAGCAGAGAACAAGAACGGCGGTTGCCCCAAAGAGCATCAGGGACCAGGCAGAGTTCGAGGTGTCTGCACCATTTCCTGATGTGGTCAAATGATGGAGAACACGAGAAGCTGCAGATGGAGCTGAAGATGTGGCGCGAGATCTGCCTCTCTTTTTTTTGCTCCGCGCCATCATTTCATTGCACAACTCAGAGCTATCATAGGTATGTGCACCAGCGGATCAAAAACAACTCCAGATGGGCACGTTCTCAAGTGCTGTGCTCCCCCTTTGAGGCAGCGCAAAGCCACCCACCAAAAAGGCGACAACACAGTAGCACGCATGCTCCTTTCAACCGCTGCGTGCGTGCTAGCACCCTTTACGCGGAGGAAAGCCGCCACTCCGATTTAAGTCCCCCCCGACGCGCTGTGGGATTCAGGACCACTTGCAAAATGGCCGTGGTCTCCTGGCAAGCCTCTTTGGCAGCTCCCCTGGCCCGTACTTGTGGAGAATGGATGCCAAGATGCCGGAAGCGGAAGGCAACAGTGATGCTGACAACCAGGGTGGCCTGGAGAGGGCGGCCATCAGCCAGTCCGCGAGAATGATCCCGGGAGCAGTCCAGAAAGAGAGTCTGGCTTGGAGCAGTGGATGCCTCCCGAGTTGTCCGCAGCATTAACTGGCCTGGTTTGGCTCAAATGCAATGTGGAGCCAGTACAGCTACAAGTGGATCCGGCGAAAAAGAGCGCCGTCAAAGTGATGTAACGTTGTCCGCAGTACTGGCAGTACTAAATGGGGAGCAGGCCAGAAAAGAAGGTGGATCAGCTGAGAAAGGGGCGATATGAAGCTAGACGAGATGCGCCGGCTACTGCTCCGCGGCTAAATGACGAGCGAAAATCGCCAAGCTGCCAGTCCACGTTGGTTGGCAAGCCATGCCCCACTTCTTCTTCTTCTTGCGTAGCCTGGCCGTAACAGTGAGGTGGGGTTGCACGCACCTCAAAGCAGTCCCACATGAGCTTCCCTTATGGGCGCGTGGCCTGAAAATGTTCAGCCTCACACAAGGTCCACCTTCACTTGAATCATACTCAAAACCTAGCAGTATCTAGCAGTAAAAGGGTCGTCTCAAGGGGCCCCAACTGAAATTCATGTCCACAGACGATGGCTTCGAGGTATGTCCACATCCCCTCCCCCCCCTCCCCCACGGGCCACAGGCCGAAAAACTGGACATGATATTTTCCAGGGTGGCAAATCGTTCCGAGAGCTCCCAGAAATGTAGTAGAATTAGCAAATATGCAGCCTGAAGAAGTTCTAAGTTCCAAGCCGACTCCAACTGCAGCCGTGTTTGGCGACACTTTAGAACCATGCCAACACTAAACCAAAACTAGACAAGCTTCAAACCAATCCGAAACCTGCAGGCATCTCAAAAGTTGCCTTGATTTCTGCTGCTTCAGTTCCTTTCTCGCAAGTTGCAGCTTGGAACAATTTGTGGGCCCGGAACGCGGGAGCCCATTTCGACGCGGACTAGAGCGAAACCCCCTAGCCGAGTGCGCTCCGTTTCTAACATTCCGCCCCTCAATTCAGTGGGGGGGGACCCGCTTTTGGGCGAAGGGGCTCTTCTTTTTGGGTCAACTTTTAAGAAGA